CAGTCTGTGTGTGAATGTTTCCCTCAGATCCCCAGGCCTCACAGTCTGTGTGTGAATGTTGCCCTCAGATCCCCAGGCCTCACAGTCTGTGTGTGAATGTTCCCTCAGATCCCCAGTCTGTGTGTGAATGTTCCCTCAGATCCCCAGTCTGTGTGTGAATGTTGCCCTCAGATCCCCAGGTCTCACAGTCTGTGTGTGAATGTTGCCCTCAGATCTCCAGGTTCACAGAGCAGAGAATGAGTCAGGTGACCAGTAGGTGGCTGTTTACAAAGTGGTTCCTAGAGCTTTTGGATGACAGTGTCCAGCGTCAGGGAAGGGCTGGTTCCTTAGAGTGGACAGTTGAAGAACCACTAGGTAAAGGCCGTTTGGGGCTGTGTGAGTCACTCAGGATGCTGTGTGTTTGAGGAACCTTGAGGAGGAAGGTGAGTCAGGAATTCAGTCCCTCATGCTGGAGAAAGCATGGTGGCCAGGAACTTGAGCTGCTGCCTATGAGGCAAAGAGACATGCATGCCGGTACTCAGGTCACTTTCTCCTTCTTATTCCGTCTGGGTCCTCAGCTCAAGGAATGGTGCTGCCCAGGGTGAGAGCCGGTTTCCTTTGCCAGTTAACCTAATCCAGAACCTCCCTCACAGACATGCACAGAGGTGTGTTTCCATAGCAATTCTACGTCTCATCAAGTTGGCGGTTAAGATTGGCTAGCACAGCGGCAAATACAGCTGTGAACGCAGTAGAGCCAAAGCATTTTGAAAATGAGCTGCAATGAGTCTCTTGCACAACAGCAGGGTAGGAACACCTAGTGGTCGAGCCTTTGCTTTTTCCTCTGCTCCTTCCACCTCCTGGTGTGTTGCTGAAGATGGTCACTGTCCCTTGAATCAGTGAACATGCCTCCCCAGAAGACAGGAATCTGTAAGAGAACGTCAAATCAGTGGGCAGGAGCTGCAGTGGGGCACACTCTTGGCAGCTGTGAGGATAAGTGAGCAGACGGGACCCGGCGTGTGGAGGAAGTACGGCATGTGGGGCACCGCCATGGCACACCCTGCGCGTGTCTGTTAAGCCCCCATTGGGTATGAGGTGCTACAGTGAGAGGAAGGGGAGCCTGCAGTCTGTCTGGGGTGCTGGAAAGAATTATTCAATGCAAACTTTACAAATTCATCCATTTGCATAGTCTGCTTAATTAAGTAGGTCAATTAAAACTAGCTCATAATGAAAAGAAGCTAGTTTGATGCTAATACTTAATCGGTACAAGTAGCCTGCAACTGAGGTTCTAAAGGATTTAAACTTACAAGATTGTAAACAATCTCTATTCTAACCTGGCACAAACCCGGGGAGCCGAGGATGATGCTCCGTTCCCAGAACTCATTCTTTATTCATTGTGTTTGCTGAGCCTGGCACAGTCGGGGCCCTGGTGATACAAGAACAAATAAAGACCCTTTTCCTCAGAGAGGGCGGGCATTAACGGGAGCTATTAAGAACCAGGGGTGCAGGGCTGAAGAACAGTTCAGGACACTCAGTGCCACCACAAAGAGGCTGTCAGGGACCAGGGAAGACAAGAGGTCAGCCAGCGGTTCCCTGCAGAAGTGGTGGAGTTTGTGCAAGTGGGGGATGAGTTATGAAACAGTCGTGGGCTTGGGGAGAGAGAGTGCACGCTGCCTGCCCGTGAGGTTGGAGAGTGGGTGATGCTGAGGCTGGAGGAAGAGATGGGATGAGGATGTCAAAGGTCCCGCGGTTGACTGGGGATCCCTTTAAAATGGTGGGGGCAGCAACACTATCAATTTGTGTTTTAGAAGACCTCCCTGGTTCCAGGGATGTGCTGTTGAGCAGGGTGGATTTGGGAGGGAAATGCAGGGAAGAGAATTAGGAAGCCTCTGCCTGAAAGGATGAGAACCCAAACAAACGGAATGTGGACAGAAGGAGGTGATGGGTCAAGAGCTGTTCCGGAGACCCGTGGCCCGATACCGGTGGCATTTGTGTATGAGGGTGCTGCCACTTGTTAGCACAGCTTATACCTAGGCTGGGTAGAAACAGGTTAAAATCTGAGTTACTTCATGTCTTAGTTACTGTTGTACTGCTGTGAAGAGAACCATGGCCAAAGCCGTTTACAGAAGGAAGAGTTCATTTAGCTTAGAATTTCAGAGGGTGAGTCCACCACCATCATGGTGGAGAGCATCGCCCCGGGCAGGCATGCACGGCACTGCAGAAGTAATTGAGAGCTACGTTCAATCCACAATCGAGGAAGTGGGGGGCATGCAAGCTAACGGGGGATGGTGTGGGCTTTTGAAACCTCAAAGCCCACCCCCCAGAGACACACCTTTTTGAGCAAGGCCACGCTTCCTAACCCAAGCATTCCAATTTATGAGCCTATGGGACCATTCTCATCCAGACCATCACACTTGTAGCCTGAAACTTTACAGACAACTCAAAACACTGCAATGAAGCGAGAGCAATCAGTCTTGTTATTTACTTTACAAGTTTTAGTTCTTATAGATGATGCGCCCTAGCTGGGGTGTCACTCAGGTAGGATGCTTGCCTACAGTGCATAAGCCTTGGGTATGAGCCCCAACAAGGCAGTACACTCACATTAACATTTTCTCACACATATGCACACACATACACTTTATATACCCTCACCCACATACATAACTCACACATACCACATGCACTTACACACACACACTTACATGCATACTTACACATACTCTGTACTACCTTCATACATTCACAGACATCATATATACACATTATTCACACATTCCACACAGTTATAAATACACATATGTACTCACATACAATTACACTCACATACAAATTCAGGCAATGACACCAAACATTCAAACACACAGTCACAATACTTATACACACACACCCACACATACACACATGTCCACACACTTGACACACACAGACACTCCACATGTGTACACACAGAAATACTGATATCCACTCAATTGCAGATACACTCATGTATCTTTTACACATTCACTCACATGCGTACACTATACACACACACACACACACACACTAATGCTCACATATTCACACAATGACACATACACACATACACACCGAATGGCATACATTTATCTCACCAGCATATAAGTGTATACACCTGCATACTCCAAACCCCCCACATATATACTCATAAACTCATGTATATACACAGAAAGTCTGAGCACACACTCACACAATACACAAATGCACACACACATTCTCACACATTCATACACATACTTTATATACAAACATTCTACATACTTGCGCATGCACACAAATTCATATGTTCACATACATGTGTACACCCACATTCCTCTCTACATGTACACATCACATACACACCCTCTCCTGAAATTCACACTCACATATTACACAATGCAGCACAAAAGCTCACTCATTTACATATACACACTTATATAAACACACATACCCTCACTCCTCACACATGTACAGTCATACCTAATGCACTGGCATTTTCTCATGTACAGAGTCATACACACTGGTGATCCCAGCACTGGGGAGGTGGACACTAGAGGTGCCCAGGGGCTTGCTAGCTGAGTCAGCAAGCTCCAGGCTCAGTGAGAGACCCTGTCTCAAAAAATATAAGGAGAGCAATTGAGGAGAGCACTTAGTATCAGACTATGACATCCACACAAACATGACACACATGTACATATACATGAAACACACACAGACACACAGAAACATACAGACACAGGTACACACATAGACATACATACACATAAACACAGACAGACACACAGACACACAGACACACACACACACACACACACACACACACACACACACACACACCATGGCAAAGAGCTCGGAGACTCCCAACCTTTTAGTGGCAATGCTCCCCAACTCCTAGTCATGTGTTCCAACTGTATTCTCCAGGCCCATGGACTTCTTACAGTGATGGTAATGTGCTCTTCTATGAGACTTTACAACTCCATGGCTTTCCGTGTGTTACCGTCTGCTCACGGTGTCTCTCCCCTGTGTGTCTGACACGTCTGCATCCCTGGAAACACCGCCCTTAAATCACTTTCTTCTGAAGACCTCTGGCTTCTGTCCCTCCTACGCCTTAAAACTCCTGTCTAATCACTGAGGTCACATCTTTCTCCCATTTAGGTAGTTCAGTACCTGGGAACTGTGCTCTTCTCTCCTCTTCCTTCCTCCGTCCCTCCCCCTCCTTTCCCCTTCCTCCCTCCCCCTCCCCCTCCTCCCTCCCCCCCCTCTCTCTCATTTAAGATTTTATATATATCTCTCCAGCTCCATTTATTGCTTGTTTCTTGAGACAGTCTTTCTGGCCTTAAACTCTTGATGCTCCTCCTGTCTTAGCTCCCAGGTGCTGGAATTACAAGTGTGAGCCACTATGCCTGGCTAAATACATTAATTTTAAAAAGGTTCTGGGGATGGAACCCAGGACTTGTGCAT